TAAATAAGTTAATGTATGAGCATGTGTGATGAACAACCACATATAAGTTGACTGAATTGACAAATTTAGTTAACTAATACTAGAAGTCTTACTTGATTCGAAATGAATACTAGGAAACTTGTTAGTTTAATCAACTGGAAACTGTTTGAATTGACTTGTTTGCTAAATGATTAGTAATAGTGAACATGAACATAATCATTTTAGAAATCGGTGAACATGAATATATAAATCTGTGTGTGCAATTATCTATGATTTTAATGTGTAATTTGTCTAAACCAAAGTACCTAAAGCGATTTGTCTTCCAGTCAGTTTATGGATGTTTGATGTTAAGTGGTATTAAAATATTTAATAAAACTATTTTTATTGCTTTTGTGTGTTTTGTGTAACTTATAATCAAACATTCTAAATTAATTTACTACCTTCCCTTTGCGTTCGATACCCTTGCTTATCAAAGCTATACCATACTCGATCGGGTTCACTGCCTGTAAGGTGTGGTTTAGATGCGATAAATTAGGAATTATAAATAAAAACTAGTGGCTTAAATATTCACATCATTCAGTATGATACATTGTGGTTGCTGCTTAAGGTGGTGGCGGAGGAGGGTGACGGATCGGTGAGGAAGACAATGATAGAGTACAACCTCGTATGAATTAATGAATTAAACCTGTGACTTCTAAAGGAAAGGCAATATTGTCTATTTGGTTGCTGTATTTAGTTATGATATTAAAAACATTAAGAGGGGAAAATACGATATCTAGAGTTTAGGTTGGTAGATACGATATTTAGATGTTTAGCAAGGGCATATCCGAAACTTTGGCATTTTTTGTGTAACATTCTATTTCAGATCATTTCTTAATTCAAGGTTGTGGATCGAAAATCGATAATGTAAAGGCTTTGCGCCTTAAGGAATTAAGTTTAGACCATATTGAAGGTTGATAATGTTGGTTGTGAGATCTAAACCCTTGATTTGTGTGTTGGACCGAAGGGTAGAAAGGGAAAAGTTATAGATCTAGCTTCTTGTGTGGGTTATGGCTTTAGTTTGGTATGTGATAAGACAAAAGTAACTAGACAGGATTGTGGGCATCTTCAATACCTTTCAGTACATATAAAGAACATCAAAAACGGAGTTGAAACGAATAAGTTATGGTTATTTGAAGTTAAGCTGGAAATGGGAGTTTGCACTATGCAGGGCATACACTGGGTATGTAGGGTTCCGTGGCTGAATGGTGGGACGCATTTTTATTGGGCTACATTGGGCCTAACTTATGTTACGCATGGCATAACTGCGCAAAGTAAAAACCCTAAGTTCAGGGTTTTGAGCCATATTTAGGGACTCTAACCCCTTAAGGTTCTTTTTATTATCAGCCTCCAACCTCTTGAGCCTCTAACTCGAAACCCTAGCCATCTTGTGAGGATTTTGAAGCATTTGAGGGTTTCATTATGTGTTTTGTGAAGAAGGAGATCATTGAAAGTGTGCTTGAGAAGTCTAAGGCTTGTTGATCTAGACTATACTTTAACATCCTCCAAGAGGTATAAATCTTGAACCTTGATGATTCATTAGATAGATCTAGCTTGTGAGCTTTTTGTCCCTTGATCTTGGGTCTAGTGAGTATGAGCTGCTCTAGACCTCATGAGTGGCATTTTCTAGCAATTCTGAGCTTGTAGAGTGATAAAAATGGGAGCTTGGTCACTCCTATCCTTCGATGAATGAGTATTTGGGCATTTGGGTGTGTTTTGAACTTGTATTTGATACTTTTCTATTTCAAGCCATGCAAAGGCATAAAGTTAGGAACTTTATCACTCTAGACGTTTATTAGGACTAGATTTTAGCAATAGATGGTTGGTCTTTTATGGATTAAGAGCTAAAAAGGGAAATGGCTTATCAACGTGGTGCGTAAGGCATACTCTAAAGTAAGTATGTCATACCACTACGCAGGGTGTAGATTGATTACGCATGGTGTAATCTTACTGAAGTTGACTTTGAATTTTTTTAACCGTTGACCGGTGAATGAACAAGTTTGACTTTGGGTCAAACTTGAGGGTTTTGGGCTATTGATTAAGGTTCTACCTGGTTTTGGTGTTAGTGGATTCGTGGGAGCAATCAATGCAGAAAGTGAGTGTGCTGCGGTATCCTTGAGCTTTCCGATTTAGGTGAGCTTTCCTCACTGTGCCTGTGAGTCGAAGTCACCAATGTCATCCTGCTAGATTATTGTTATGTATCCTTGTATGTAGGATATCGATGTACAGTAATGATCTGTAAGATATTTATATCGTTGTATGTTAGGATATATGAGCAGTGGTATGCTAGTTAGAGTACCAGTAGACTGGTCATTATCTAGAGGAGTATCTTAGCTAGGGACTGTAGGTAGTCATGTAGGATAGCCTAAGAACTCTTGATCTAGGTTTTCTTGCATATTTCTTGTTTGGTTGTGGCTTTAGAGTACGATCATCTGTTCAGGTGGCTATCTCGTCTCTTATTACATATGGCTATGCATTCCTCGGAGGTTTACCGGTAGTGGAGCAGTGTGATGTGAGGGGCCTAGTAAGCAGTAGTGAACTGTTTGACATGTAGATTCATATTTGCATGTACACATTCGTCAACAACTACGAAGATTTCGCGTTTATTATATTACTCTGATTTTCAATAAATGTAATTTGGAACAAATAGTGTTCTTACACATGGATTTTATAATTATGAAGTTTCACCTTAACAAAAATTTAAAAAATAAAATAAAATTGTTGTGAAAAAAGACGTTACATTTTGTGCTACTACTCCGTAAATTTATGCTTCCGCCATGCCTCCTTCCATAAAGTTCTCATCGATATTAGCAATCCTCAGCCAACCATACACTAGGAATAGAGTTCCTTGCAAAAGTTTTACCATCCACAAAGGAAATTTTGTGTATAACTTGAACGCAATTCAGCCAAAGTGAGTTCCTCTTCGTCTTAACCTCCACTAACGCTTAGCAAGAAAAGCTAAGTTCAAGGAATTCAAACAATCAACCAGGAGACCACCACAATCTTTGAGAGTTACTTTTTCCTATGAAACTCGACTAATTTTCTTTTTATCCCCCATCCTCACCTACAAAAATCTCCTTCTAAGACCATTTAAAAAAGTAATTTAAAAGAAGTTAATTAACGGCTTTGAAGCAAAAATAAATGAAAATTGGAATATATATATATATATATATATATATATATATATATATATATATATATATATATATATATATATATATATATATATATATATATATAGGTTCAAGTTCATTTGAAACCATTCTAATTTTGTGAGACCGTGATACCAAATCTAGAAATAACTTTAAAATGCAAAATAAATGGAAAAATCCAAAAATTCTTTTTTTAAATATTATTTTCGGAACTTGAATTAACTAAAAAAATAAAAATATATATAAAAAATATAAAAAAAACATTAAAAAATTCCGTTTTTTTTAAATACGTGAAATATTCTAATAGAATATCATATTGTACATATTCTAAAAAATAATTTTAAAATGCAAAATAAATGGAAAAATCTAAAAATTCTTTTTTTAAATATTAATTTCGGAACTTAAATTAACTAAAAAAAATAAAAAAAATAAAAAAATCCCGTTTTTTATTTTAAAATACGTGAAATATTCTAATAGAATATTACACTGTACATATTCTAAAAAATAATTTTAAAATGCAAAATAAATGGAAAAATCCAAAAATTCGTTTTTTAAATATTATTTTCGGAACTTGAATTAACTAAAAAAATAAAAAAAATACAAAAAAGTGTCTCACAGTCTCACAAAATTAGGCGTCTCACATTAACATATATATATATATATATATATATATATATATATATATATATATATATATATATATATATAGAATTTTTATATTTTTCCATTTATTTTGCATTTTAAAATTATTTTTTAGAATATATGTCAGTGTAATATTGTATTTAGAATATTTCACGTATTTTTCAAAAAAAAAAAAACAGGATTTTTTTTTATATTTTTTTTAGTTAATTCAAGTTCCGAACGGGATTTTTTTTATATTTTTCACGTATTTTTGGAATGTTTCATTTATTTTGCATTTTAAAATTATTTTTAAATTCGATCTTACAGTCTCACAAAATTAGAATGGTATCAAATGAATTTGAATATATATATATATATATATATATATATATATATATATATATATATATATATATATATATATATATATATATATATATATATATGGGAAAAGTGAATATACCCTTAAGGGTATATAAGCTTAGGTACCCAAATTCACCATAATACATCGTTTTGTTTGATATATTTATTATAATGTTCTTCAACTTCAATCCTTAAGTTGATTTACATTCAAGATTTTCAAAATTTCATTATTATCTTCCTCTTACATCACATTTTTTTGACGAACATCAATTAGGCTATATATATTATAGTTGAAAATGAAAATTATGTAAGAGGAAAATAAATGTGAAATTTATAAAAATCTTTGAATGAAATCAAGTTAGAAGTTTAATTATAAGAACATTAGACAATTATAATGTATATATATGATACAAAACGACGTAGTATGGTGAGTTTGAGTACCTAAGCTTATATACCCTTAAGGGTATATTCACTTTTCCATATATATATATATATATATATATATATATATATATATATATATATATATATATATATATATATATATATATATATATATATATATATATATATATATATATATATATATATATATATATATATATTACTGTGATTTGCTAAAAAAAAAAAAGTAATCTAAAAGAAATTAATTAAAGGCTCTGAAGCTATAAAAACATGTGTATATTAAATCAAATTAAGTGGTCCAAACCCTTTGTTCGAAACTTAGTTAATTTATTAATGGGAAACCAACGGTAGCGTACGTACTCGCATTGTAGCTCCCTTTAAGGATACCCCCTTTTTTATGCTTATAAATTCGTTACCTCCCAAAAAGAAACACATTAACTAACTTCTTCCACCATCACCATCACCATGTTGTTATTGTTGGCTTCAGTGGCAGTGATCGGCGGAGCATGGTGGTTGTGGACGGTGGTCCAGTGGGTCTGGCTGAGACCCAAAGCCATCGAAAAATGTTTGAGGAAACAAGGTCTCAATGGCCCAGCTTACAGATTGTTGCATGGAGACATGAACCAGATGGCCACCATGGCTCGACACGCCGCCATGAATTCCAAACCCATAAGCTTTTCCGACGACTTCCTCCCCATCATTCTGCCGTTCCACCACCACATCATCGAAACCTACGGTCAGTGTATTCTTTTTAATATATTGTCCCTAGTAGGCTAGTACTAGCTAGTAGCTAGGGTTTTGAATACTAAATTAATTACTTATTATTTTTTTAACCTCAAGTGCAATATCAATGGTGCTCGACGGTGGAAACCTGGGCGACAATGGCTAGGGATGGTGGATCATGTGTCAGAAGTTGCTTTATAGTTTATACAATGAATCCATCCTCTTATGGAAATCTGTTTTGCTTAAATTTAATAACGGATCAAGTTAATTTTAGTAATTTTTGGTAGTTTGAAAAAATTTAAAACCGTTATTAAAATATTAATTAAGTAATTAAAATCGTATTTGATATTGGTGATGGCAGTGGGACGGATATTTGATCTTCATGTCTCATACTCGATTATTAATTAAATAATTAAAATATTAATTAATTTTTCCCTAGAAATCTCTATGGGCTAGGTTTGCCTATAAAATAGTTCGAACCCATGGGGGTAGTTGAAATATTTCGAGACTTCAACTTTTCCATTTCCAAAAAAAGATTATAAATGTGAATTTCAAACATGATTTCGTCCTATTGGATACGTGGTTTGTAGATAATCATATACTAGGTATTGATATCCCATCTATGATCTTATTAAATAAAACTTAATCGTTGAATTTTTTATTATCTAACACAATCATCTGAAAAATGATTTGAATTTTTTCATAATTCAAATTTTAACTACATCAAACAAATTTTATCTCTAACAATTATAGTGATCACCATATGATATCCGAATTTCTTGGTAAACTGATGATAATATAAATATTAAAAATGATATTAGTAATTTTCTTTCTGAAGTAGTAATAATAAATTTCTATTTATAACATTACATATAATATTATAATTTAATTTTGAAATCATGTATATTAATAAAAAAGGTACAAGTATTCTAAAAAATAAATGTTGTGATGTTGACAAAATGGTAGTAGATATAAGAATATAAGATTGGATAATCAAACGGGTATAACCTTAATACTATAACCATCATAGTCCTACAAGAATTTTAGAAAATATCGCATACTCAATCATATTAACTAGCTCAAAATCAATCACAAAAGTTCCGGGATCGGTTTTTCTATGGGTTCATGTATTCTTATCATTTATATTGCGTTTTTTCCATTCTATAAGAAAACAAAGTGATATATTAAGAAACCGTAAAACTTTAATTAAGTTATTTTAATTTAGTTATTTTTAATGTTTTGATTTTTTTTTTTTTTTTTCTGTTTTCTTTTTATTGTTATCTTACTTATATTTTTTATTCCAGTAAAAAGAATTAATGTGATAAATGAAATTTCTTGTATTAATTAATTATATTAGTTATAGTTCAAAACATAAAATCATTTATGGTATCCACAAAATATATATATATATATATATATATATATATATATATATATATATATATATATATATATATATATATATATATATATATATTTGATACATTTTAAATTAAAATACATCAGAAATATTCTTCATTTTAACCAATCTCAAAAGTTTTCCTATATTTATTTATTTAGTTTATTTACCTTCATCTAAAATGTTTTATAAAGTCATCTAGGTTAATTTGTTGTTTTTATAAAGACACTTCATATTTCAATATAATATATTTCAAATAACATCTGGATTTAAATAAATAATATATTATTACTCATCGCAGCCCACATATTCAATTAGTGAAAAAAAATTAATAAATTTAAATATAACTAAAAGGTAATATATATATATATATATATATATATATATATATATATATATATATATATTAAATGAACAATATTAAATTTATAAAATATAAAAACAAAATAAAAAGCTGTTGATATAAAAGGCAAGATAATTCACTTGGTTAGATGTTTATTTGTAAAATATAAAAGCAAAATAAACATTTAATAAATAAGTGGTTGATGATATAGAAGGCAAAATAAATCACTTGGTCAAATGGTAAATAAGTAATAATTATGTATTTTTCTTAAAAAAAAACGTTACCCCTTAGTTTGAATTATACTTGATCTTTTATATTTAAATTATACTTGATCTTTTATGTTACTAACAACACGACCAAAATAAACAAACGTTTCGACCAATTTTGTCACTAAGTTAAATTAAACACGTATAAGTTTGAATCATTGACTTATCATACCTAAATTCAAGGTTGTAGAACTTGTTACTCGATATCTATTCGGCCGACTACCAAGTAGCAAGTACTCAGGACTACCCGGGAGTACTCGGGGAGTACTCGGATACGTAATGTATGTAGAGATATTTTTAGGGAACTTATATATATCAAAATCATAAGTTAAAATCTTAATTTGATTGAAATATATAACAAAATTAGATACATTTGAATACACAAAAACTGAAAAACACATAATGGTCTCACTTTGTGAATAATTACTGAAAATTTAAGATCTATATGTAGTAATAATTACATGTGTTTGTCTTAAATAATAAATCATTAAGTATATTATACATATTAATCACGCAGTTGACTGAGTTTTACAACACTATTCAGTTCAATAAGAAGCCGATTGGGGAGTACTCGTGATTTTGTAACTCGTCTCGGTAAGGGGCCGAGTAGTGAGTACTCGAAGGATTAATCGGCCAACTCGGCGAGTTTTACAACACTGCCTAAATTCTAACCAATCCACCATCGTATATTATGTATTAATCATTTAATTTTTTTTAAAGCTAATTATAAAAGTAGCCAAAATCTTTAACTACTTATTAGTTTTTAGCCAAAAATTAATATTTAATTCAGAAACTAGCCTTTAAAAGTGTAGCTCATTAAGTTAATTTACGACCAACAATATTGTTGACTTGATCTCGGTTGACTACTTTTTGGAGGCAATAAGCTACTTATTGTTGACTTGATCTCGGTTGACTACTTTTTGGAGGCAATAAGCTACTTATTGTTGACTTGATCTCGGTTGACTACTTTTTGGAGGCAATAAGCTACTCTTTGGTGGACCGTCTGCTCTTTCAGGGCCTATTGGCCCACAATATATAAAATTTTAATTTTCAGTTTTACTCATTTTATGTGTGTTTGAAGTTTGGAATTCTCTCTCAATGGACCCTCTAATATCTTCGAATCTTAAACTTTTTTTGTGTTTTTTTGTTTTTGTTTTTGTTTTTTTGTAGCTTGTATACATTATAATATAAATGAAATGTTGTTATTTTTTTACAAATAGTAGTCAAATACGAAGAAAAAAATCATAGCTTTTTGGACGAAACAACAGACTATTTTAAGGTTTATGCTGGTCTATGCTTTGGAAAACAGTAGACTATTCAGAGGAAACTGTAGACTATAAAATGGTCTACAGTTTCATAATGAATTATGAATAACAAAAACCTTAAGTTTTAGAGCTGAACCGCTAACCATTTAAGCAAAATAGTAGACCATTTCAATAACATACAGTTTTGATGGCGATTTAGACTAAGTCCTAAATTTTGGCTAAAAATAGAGTCAATAGAAATTTTGGTTAGATTAATAATTGCTTCATTTATTTTACCTTGACTTGTAATTATCGATAAATAATGATATAAAAACCGCAGGTAAAAATTCATTTGCATGGATGGGACCAACCGCTAGGATCAACATCATGGATCCTGACCTAATCAAAGAGGTTTTAGTGAACAATAAGGTTTACAAGAAACCAACTCCAAACCCATTGGTAAGGTTCCTTGTTTCAGGAATTACGAGTTATGAGGACCAAAAATGGGACAAACATCGCAAGATTCTAGCACCAGCTCTTACACAAGACAAGTTGAAGGCATGAATTGAATTTTCGATGAATATTTTCATTGAGATATGTAACTAAATAAATCATGAACGTTGGCTAATGTAGTTTTAAATCTTTTTCATATCATATTATAGCATATGTCATCAGCCATGTACACGAGTTGTTTCGACATACTGGTGACCGAATGGTCAAAGTTGGTTTCTGAGAAGGGTTCATGTGAATTAGATGTACAACCTTACATCGATGATTTTGCAAGTGATGTCATCTCCCGAAACGCATTTGGAAGTAGCTATGAACAAGGTAGAAGGATATATCGTCTCCAAAAAGAACAAGCCGTGCTCACACGTGAAGTTCTACAGTCAATATACCTCCCGGGACGAAGGTACATTAAACATAATGGTCTATATATTCCTTTTTTTTCATCGTGAATGTATTTAATTGTAGTAAAACCTTAAAACTGTAAAACATTTAGGTTTTTACCAACCAAAACGAACAAGCGAATGAAGGAAATCGACAATGAGTTGCGGTCGATACTGAGCAAGGTCATGGAGCAAAAGGAGCTTGCGATGGTATCGGGGAAAAGTGATGATGATCATGAAGATTTGTTATCGTTATTGTTGAAATCAACTACAAGGGCAAACGGGGATATGGGGATGAGTGTTGATGAGGCGATTGAAGAGTGCAAATCGTTTTATTTTGCAGGGCAAGAAAGCTCATCGAATCTCTTGGTTTGGACCATGATTTTGTTGAGCCAACACCCGACATGGCAAATAAGAGCACGAGAGGACGTTCACAAAGTTTTTGGACAAAATAAACCAAATTACGAAGGGTTGAGTCGCCTCAAAGTCGTAAGTACAATTTAACCAAATGCAATATTGTTTAACTACTAGTCTCACATCAACTAAACAGAGTCTCGTGTATCATAATATATGTGGAGCCTCCTCTCCTCTTCCCCTCCTTTAAGGAATCGGCGTATCTAACACAGATAAAATGAATCCTAACCCAAGTGCATAAAGTAGGAATGAGTATATTTATTGTTTTATTTATAAATTTTCAGGTAACCATGATTCTATATGAGGTTCTTAGGCTATACTCACCCGCAACCATATTCACACGGATCACATATGAAGAGGCCAAACTAGGAGACCTAACTGTACCAGCTGGAGTGCAGTTCTTGTTGCCAGTTATATTTGTACACCATGATCGTGAAATTTGGGGAGAAGACGCCAAGGAGTTCAATCCCGAGAGATTTTCAGAGGGAATTGCAAAGGCGACAAAGAACAAGCTTGCTTTCTTCCCGTTTAGTTGGGGTCCTCGGATTTGCATTGGGAATAACTTTGCTTTAATGGAAGCTAAGTTGGCTATATCAACAATTCTACAACATTTCTCGTTTGATCTGTCGCCTTCTTACACTCACTCACCATCTTATGTTGTTACGCTTCAACCCCGACATGGTGCTCACTTGATTCTCCATAAGATTTAGCATCTCCCTTGACTAATTGTGCTATAGCTATAACTGTTGACGCCTTAATTTCAGAATAATTGTGTAGTTTCTCATGGATATGGTTTGTGATTTGGTCATGGTTCATGTAATTGTTGCCGATTTCATGTAAATACCTAATATGCGAAGTTTCTTGATTATGCAAAGCCTCTATTTTATCCAAATTCCAAACCAATATACCGAAAGTTCACAAACTTCCACATCAGAAAATCAATCGAAATTGATGACAATCCGTTCATATGCGCCTCACCGATTTCAAGAGCACAAACAGTGTAGTAACAAAACTAAAACTAGCAGAATGAATCACAACTCACACTAGTGCCGAGAGGATTAACAAAACTGCGCGAACTTGAACGATCAGGAATACGGACATCATGTCGTACTTCAAGTCAAGAACACCACCACCGAACCCTGGCAAAAGTACAGCTCTACAAGTCGTGACAATATACTAATACTAAAGCCTAACTTTTTGAAGAATAACGCAAGCCTTCAATGAAATCAGTTATTGTTGAAATTTAAAGCTCGTTAATTGCAATAACGATTTGATCATGAAAATTTTCCAGTGATTGATCGGGAATTTGGAAGTTTACCGAACAAATCAACGTAGAAGGAAGTTTAGTATGTGAGAGTGGAGGAGAGAGGTGTTGGGTCATGGTGGACGTGTCTCCGTCGAGCTCGAGTTCAATTCGACGATCCGAAGCTTGATAAATGAACTCGAGTTATATTGGAGCTTAATCGAGGGTGTCGGCCGCCAGGAGATCTATTTCCAAATTTCTTCTTCCGCTTCTCTTTATTAAATTCCTTTCTTCCTTTCTCACCAATTGATTATCGTTATAGATAATTCTAACCCTTATAAATTGACTTCTTTGACAAAAATGATCTAAAGTTTTTTTTTTTCTTTTTTTTAAGTAACCAAATTGTCCGGAACAGATTGTTGCAGAGAGGTTTTAGGAATTCCAAAGTGGACCATGGTTCCGAAATACATTTTATTTGGCTTTTTTTCGTGTAACATGTGGCCTCATCATTTCGGATCGGCATCTGGAACACCGGAGTATGATTCCGGACCACAGTTCCGAAACGTTTTTTTTATTATATTTTTTATTGTTTTTTTGTGTAAATATGTTCTTTTTTGTAAAAGTTTTGTTTATATAATATCTAAAATGCAACTGGTAATCTTAAAATCAACAAAAACCAAATAAATAAACAAAAAGGATTAGTTTGAAGTAATATTACATCCCATATTACAATGTTCAAATCATCTTATTCCTTACACTCCAAAATATTTTCGCTAGTCATTTACAATATGATTGTTAGTGCCCGTTTTACGTTCACTAGATGATTTAGAAAGCCTATTTTTACCCTTAATTTTAAAATTTTTACATAGTCTTTAAGCTTAAAAATGTGAATTTTCATTAAAATTCGTGATGGAGTTCAAATCTTTTGGTTGATGTTTCTTTGTCCCATTCAGTTGAGACTGACCTGCTTTGGTGGGTCTTCCATTGCCTATTCAAAATGTTGATGGGAGTTGGGCTTCTTTTTATGAAATCCAAGATCTTAAATGAATTGAAGGCTTGTATCACCGCTTGTCATCACAAGTGCAAACCCAAGTCTCTCATGTTCCCCTCCGCTTATTCAATGAGTTGGTTTTCGTTTTATGAAAATCAAAATATAAATGTTGTGCTTTTGCAATTGAACTGATGTTTTATTTCACTTGTTATTGCAAGTGCAATATGTGTTTCACTAGTTCCCTACCACCTATTACACATGTTTTTTTTTTTTTTTTGTAAGAGTTGGTCTTCTTTACATGAAGTTCAAATCCTTTTTATAACGAATTGACTGATTTTTATCTCACTTGTTAGCACAAGTACAACCTGCTTTGGTGAGTCCCTCTTCTCCTATTCAACAGACGATGAGAGTTGGACTTCCTTTTATAAAGTCTAAAGTTTTGAAGGAATTGACGGAACAATGGTCTTCATTGTTAAAAAGTCCACATGAATTTTACAAGGAATTGACGGATATGATATAGTTTGCGTACAAGTTTTGTCATGAATGACCTATTGTGAAAATATTTGGGTTTGGTTGTTCAAAGTTTAAGCGTTCAAGATAAATTCTTTTGCAGCCATTTCACACTGCATAAGAGATGAGTGAATTTGCAAGTTTTAGAAAGCTAACAATTAGTCAAGTTTGAGTCCATTTGGGTGCCATCGTTTGATTTGGTTTTATACACACATACGATTGGACAAAAGAAGCAAAGGCATGAAAGTTGATTCAACAAGTCAAAGATCCTGTAAAGTTTATTATTCCAAAAAGAAAAACAAAATGTCAAGAAAGTTTATTTTCATTTAGATGATTCAAGGATTTCTAGAACAAAAAGCTTTGTTGACTTGAACTTCTTAGAACTTCCTGGAAATACACGATGCCATCATCCACATTTTCAACACACAAATCTTCACCTTAACCCTTCTCTAACCATAAACCCACGACCTCTTCAACCCTTCTCGATCACCCGACACCACCTTATTCCTCCAATAACAGCCACCTGTTACAACCAACGAGCTTGAACCTCCACAGAACCCCTCACACCTCTTCAACCCGTCACAAGCACCACCCGTGACCACCATCTACACCCCTTACCTTATTCACCATCACCTTTAGCCCTCAACAGCCACCACGAACCACCCTTATATCAACAATTTCCACCTCCATAACCACAGACAACACACCCGACATTACCCATCCTCACCATCACCCTCCTCCTCCACCCTTAATATCATCATCGAACCACCATAAACCACCCACTACCACCATCGTTAATAGCCTTCAAACACTCAAAAACACCACCATCCTCTATACCTTCCTCCCTTGCCTTCATTTGACAGCCTTCAACCCATCTTGAACCACCCAAATTTTCGCCATCAGCACCATTCACTCACCTACATCAATCTTCACAAAAAATACCACCCATAACCACCATTGTTTCTCTCTTTCAGCCTAAACAACCCATCAGACTCTCACCGGTGAAAATCAAAAATAGAAGGGAGATAAAGGGGACTGCGATCGAACTAACACACACACACACACACAAACTGTGATCGAGAATTGAAAGGAGGAGGAAAAAGGTGTGATCGAGTGGAGAGAGAGCGAGAAGTACCTGCGGTTTGGGGAGGTGTCAATCGGATTTGAAGAAGAAGAAAAGATCGACCTTTCCTTGCTGCTGGGATTCTCACGAACACAAGCAGAAGAAGGAGAGCACGTCAGCGTCCAGGGCACTGAACACGCACGCAGAAAGTGATCTAAGAAGTTGTTGCCCAATTTGTCTATGAGTTGCGCTATGTTTTCTCTTGGGCTAATCTAATATTTATGTTGGGCTACATCAGACGCAAGGAACAAGATGATGTTTAAACTTAATTTTCTGATTGCTGTTGATTTTGAGTTTATGTAGTAATTTCTTTTGTGGGTTTAGTTGACTTGGGAAAATGATATCTTATGCTTTAGGTTAATTGACAAAATCTTCATACGTGTCTAAGGGGGGGTTGTTTTAATAGCAACACCTTTCTTTTCTTTTGTGGGTTTAGTTGACTTGGGAAAATTATAAATATTATAAACATAGACATGTGTTGGTGTATTTTGAACAATACCAATGAATTTAATGCTTTTTAATATCATGAGGTGCATAGAGATATGAGTAAGTAATTTTAAATCGAATCAGCTAAACCTCGCATTTCTCTTGTCTGCTCAATCCCAAGTTGCATGTTTGCCCATTTTAGTTACTTAAATCTAGTATTGTGTTTCTGATTTTCATTTTAGTTCTTGTAGAAATATTGGTAGTCTTTATTTATTTTATTTTAGTGTAGTTTTTAAAATTAGTTTTTGTAGTTCAATCAAACCAAATCGTTTTTACCAGCAGCTACCTAGTTCATCTTCCTTTAAGATAGATAGTCCGTGTACGATATTTGGTCTTATGATTATATTATTTGCACGGCCTCGTATACTTGCGAGTACGCGTTTTCGTCAACAATGACATATAAATTATGGACCGCATTGACCGTCTATAGAATATGACTTCTCGATGATCAACGCTTCTAGGAACCAACACAAAAACACCCAACAATCCCCCATACTCACAATCTATTGTGGTACTTGTAGCGCCTTTTCGAGGGTCATGTTGAAACTCTTAAATAGGATCGAATCACTTGGTTCGGTACCCTGGTAGTTGATACTCACTAGCAGTCTGTGATTGTAGGATCATATATCGATAAACAAATCCTTGGTTTCTAAAAAGTAGCTCCTCTTCCAATGACTATCATACATTCTCATTTGGTATGTCTTCCAATTCAAAGCACCCAAAAACCAGTGAGCAATTTGTACATTGATAGGGATGTAAAGCTATAAAAAAAGGTTAGAAATAATTAAACATCAAATAACATTATAGTACATACATACTTAGGTAATGTAACCCAAACACAATTATATAGTATCATATTCTACCCAAGCTAGGTAAACGGATTTGTAAGTCATGTCACTCTAATCAAATGTATCAATGTTGAAAGTTGTCAGTACAACCGTCCACCGAGCATCATCATGTCTACGTTATACCAGCAGTGAGATCCACAACATTATGTACTGTCAATTAAAAACATTTGCAATTAAGTCTTGTTAGTAGAAGCATAGTATGTAAATGAGCAGACTAACAATGTAACTTGCATCACATTCCAACCACCCTGCATGACTACCCACATATAAGCGCATCTAAAATTCAATCATCGGAATAGTTGTCAATAAACGGTGAGTGAAAAACATCAAACCATCTCGTTGTTTTATAAAAAATGTGTATGGCCGGTTCTAAGAGATTGTCCAACAGTGTTGGTTGTCCTTGTACAACATCTTTCCTCTTCATTTTGTATCCATGGGGACTTATACCATATAGATATAACTTTTTGGCACATAGAATGTTGAAGTGCTGGCGAGGGTGTTTTGTATTGATCCCACAGAATCACTTTGTAACATCCCAAAAATTGTAAGGTAAAAATTTTATTTTTAATTCAACCACTAAAACACCGTTTAGTATTACCAATCGTTCAAAAGTATAATAACGTAAAAATAGTTATCAGAATAAAATCCCAAATTCATAAAGTTGCGGAAACATGGGTTGATGTAGTGCAATCATGTCGGGCCCTTCTCTTTTGTATCGGAAGTACCTAAAACCACAAATAATAAACCATAAGCACAAATCTTATGTGAGTTCTCCCAAAATACCACATACCATACAAACATACAATCAAGCATATATGGGTGCTTGCATTCCCCTTCGGTCTCTTTCAACCGGATACTGTCAAGCATATATGGGTGCTTGCCTTCCCCTTCGATCTATTTTAACTTGCTACTATCAAGCATATTTTGGTGCTTGCATTCCCCTTCGGTCTATTTCAACTGGATAATGGGTCTATTTCACCCCTATCACTACCACATAATATCATAAAAAAAGAACCACAAAGTCATCAAACAATACGGGCATAACAGATGATTATCATGAAGACCAGCATCACACTACAAGCATAAACTACTGGGCTAACATTGGTGCATTTGACCCACGGATAGAGTGAAGGAAACTCACATGAAGTTGTTGAATATCTCAAATAAAAGCTCGTACTAGCAATCCGAAAAATCCCCACGCTAACATCATCAACTAATACCCAATTAGTAATTATCCCACAACCCATAGTTGGAATCCTAGTATAATACTTAGGGTAAAAGTCTATTTCACCCATTTCTTTACTTGGCC